GAAAGAGTGAGGGTGTCAGTTCTCTAAAGCAGTACTGCCACTGAGGAAAGAGCATGAGGAACCGAACCCTACGAGGAAAAATGCACATGTAATTTCTATAATTAATTATATTCCGGTACCAAGCTACCTCACTCTCCAATATGCTGGCTCCTACTGTGTGCTTCCAAGTCAAAATAACCTGCTAACTGAGATATAAAAATCAGATAGGAAAATTTTGGAAGATTACGTCAGGTATACCGAGCCACAGTCAATCAGGAGAATTTAAATGTAATGTCTTTGAAATGAATATTATCTGACAAGGAGCTAGTGACCTGTCTGGGCTGGTGTGTGAGCCTGTAAACGTGAGCTTCTGCATTCTCCATAAACTTCATCCATGTAAGGACCTGACAAAAGCTCCTTTCAATAAAGCACTGCAGCCACCTAGCCTTGAAAAGCTGCAAGTGTTCAGTAATGCTAATCACAGCCTGGAATTAAGCAAAAGCCTTCCATGTATTTGTAGGTACTTCAGGAGCCAGTAAAAGACGGATCAGTTGAAGTTGATACCACAGAAACAAACTGAACAACCAGAAATGACTGAAAGGTAACAGTGATCTAAACGTCCATGTTTCTTGGGTTTGTCTTTACAAAGTTCTAGGACAGTCATTTTTGCTTGGCTCATAATCAGTTCTTGTTAATGCTATGTTCTCTGGTTCTGCTGAACGCTGATGAAATAAGGAACAAATGGATCAATGCTCTCATTGTATTTACTGGGAAACCAGTAATCAGGACAGAGGACTCAATTCCTTGAATCCTAATTATACATGAATTTGCTAGTGTATCCCTTTAGACTGCCATAAATTATGAACAAACAGCAACAAAAATATGAGAAGAGGAAAACAGTGTAAGTGGTAGAAAAGGCAGACAGAATCAAACATAAACCTATCCTGCTGCTGTGTAAGGGCACTTCTAATTCTCCTCTGCTGTCAACCTCCAGGTCGCTCCCAGACCATAAATCACGCAGCAAACCTCACCTGCCTCCTCTCAAAAATTCTCAAGTTGGGCACCCATTACTGAAAAAAGACTCTTATTTCACTGAGATTACCTGCCCATCTGGTCTAATACTCTGATTCCTGCTTTTGTGAGTAGTAGACAGCAGAGAAACCTTAGTACTACCTCACAGCAAAACAAGTTAACACCAGACATTCCTATTCTCCCTTCTCTAAAGGGGATTTTCAATAGATCAATTCGACTTTTGATGCTAGTTAACTACCAAAATTAATTTTTGATTTTCCATTCAGCTACAGAACTAGCTGGGAATGAAAAATCAAGAACACACAAAACATAAAATTGGGATGAAAAACTGAAATCAAAGATTCAAAGGATGGTCACAAATGTACTTTTTACTTTCCAGGTGCATGGTATTTTTAGAAATTTCTGTCCTAGAGGTGTGAAAGGGTTAAAAGGAGATCTAGTGGGCAGCCTACGGCACACGTATATAGTGTGAGTAACAGTATTTTTCTCTGATGTGTTTGATGCTGTCCACTGTTGAGAACAGGCTGCTGGAATAGATGAACTGAGTTGGATAGCCTGTGTTCTTCTCATGGGCTCTTTGTTAAAGAGCTACTCGACAGCTGATTTATTCATTTGTTATTTTTAAGTTCCCTAGAAAAATTCAGGCTCCCGGTTCAAGAAAAATGTGTCCCATTTGTAACACTGTATAAGCTGAATACACACAGTTTTTATGCTTTGAGGAACTACACATTCATTTTTTTAATAATCACACTTGCAGATATTTTATACGGAAAAAAAAAATCCAAGCTCTTGATTACTGATATTTAGTATCAACATGGTCACATTGGTAAAACACTAATGTGTATTATCAAAAAGAAAGAGATTTTTAATCTCGGTTCTCCTGCTTGCTACAGTCTAAGAAAGATTCCTCAGAATAAAAAATCTTGTACTTCTGATGCTTCCTTACACATAAAAAGAACAGCCTTGTGCCATCCTCAGTGATAGGAAGTGACAGGCAGAGCATGACGTCACTCTTTATTTTTAACTGATTGCCTTTCTGGTGAATTTATTTTGCTGTCAGTAAATATTACAGCAGCATTAGTCACATTCAGGCTTTACAGAGACAGAAGCCCTGTGCTGAGTTTGATCCCAGAAGTCAGCAGTTCTTAGCTTTTGAAGGGAGAGTCTTTATTTTGAAATCTGGCACAATGGCTTGCATCCACAGGCAGACTGGTAAGGATATGTCTCGGAGAAATGCTAAAGAACACATCAAAGGTCTACAACCACCAAAGGCATCCGTGTGACTTTCACCATTACAGCTGCACCAGACAGGCTAACCACTTACAAGAGATCCAGCACGGATCACATTTATGCTACCTGGTCTCCGTTGCCTTTGTAAACATATATGGCTTTCCTCCTCCACCAGCTTTTGGCTGCCCTCCAAGGAAAATGCTGTTATTCATTATGCACTATTCAAGCGCTCTGTAGTCTTAATAACTATCACATTTTCATTGTTACCACTAAATAACGCTACTAGTAGAATACCAAGTTCTGAAAACCCAGGTTTTGCATGCCCACAGTAATAAGCTCGTCTAGATGGATGAAAGGGCAGAAAACACGTGTTTTCCTCCTGAAGAAAAAAAAAAACACAGCAAGAAGTTGGGTCTTGTCCCTGTCCTGTGTTATGTTCCCACTCCGTATCACTTCATTCAGGTAATCATTACCATGCATTAAAAGAGTCTGCAGACAGCCTACACAGAACTTAAAAACACCAAGCAATTATTTATTGGCTAATTCACAGAGCAGCTGGAATTAATGAGCTGCTAACAACCTCCTCTGGTAAGACACCCGTGAATCCCAGCTGACCTTGCGATCACGTGGAGGAGCTCCAGGCTCTGCTGCTTCTTGTGCCAGGCCTTTAGTAGTCTGTAGCATTGCTCCTTCTGCCTTCCTTTCCCAGATGATTCTGTATCTTTTTATGCTTCCGTTTTTTTTCTTCTTGAATCTACTTTAAACTGCTGATTCCAGCTCAACAGTTTTACCTCTGTCTACAGTTTTACCTTGCTTGTCTTGCATGGCTGAAGACAAAGTCCCTTCTCGCAGCGTAGCAGTTTTCGCAGCAGTCGGAAGGAAGGTTGCTCTGCTGGGCTGAAGGAGAGGGGCTGCGCCCCAGTAACATTGTGTAGCCCACAAATTCTGAACGGTACCGGGGAATTGTCTGGATTTCCACGTCAGGTACGTCTTCTTACAGAATGATTGAGGCTGGAAAAGACCTCTGAGATCATCAAGCCCAACCGCCAACCCAACACCACCATGCCTACTAAACCATGTCCTGAACTGCCACATCCACACAGTTTTTGAATGCCTCCAGGGATGGTGACTCCACCAGCTCCCTGGGCAGCCTGTTCCAAAGCCTGACCACTCTTTCAGTAAAGAAATTTTCCCTGACATCCAATCTGAACGTCCCCTGACGCAACCTGAATGACGGTATCCGCTTACAACGTTAATTTCCTCTCACTTGATAAACCAGCGAGGTGCCCGTAAGGAAACGCTGTACACACGTCAACGAGGGAGCAAGAGGCACAACCTCCCGAAACGCTCGCACGTTACCACCACCCAAGCGACAACCTGGAAACACTTCATC